AAAAAAAAAAAGGACTTCCACCCAAAAGTATTGAAGAGGATGTGGAGAATGAGAAATACCATATACTAATAGTGGGAAGGTAAACTGCTGCAAACATTATGAATGCAATCATAGTTTTACCTTTAAGAAACTAAAAATAGATATACAGTACTACCCAGCAATCCCACTCTTGGGCATTTACCCAAAGAACAGGAAATCATCAACAACAATACATATGTTGTTATATAATGTTCTACAATGTTTGTATCACCATTTTTTGTCTTAGTCAGGATCTGAAAGCAGCCTAAATGCCCATCAATAGGTGACTGGATCAATAAAATATGGTAGGTCCACTCTACAGAATATTCAGTCATAAGGAAAGATGAAATACAGTAATTTTGATCAAAATGGAGGAATTTTGAGAGAATTATGTACACAAAAGTAAGTTAGAATGATTTCTAAAATGTTGAGCATTCACACAGCAGATGACTTGATAAAATAGCAGATGTCAATAAACAGTATGAGGGTTCTGAGGTTAAGAGAGAAATAGAAAAGAAGAAAGTGATGGTGTTTGGGAAAATAAATTGAAAAAGAATGAGAGAAAAAGCAGCTTTTCACATAGGAAGGAAACAGCAGCATTTTTCAACAGAAACATTAGAGACAAAAAGAATGTTGAAAGGAAAACACTTGCAAACATGAAAACTTTACCCAACAAGGTTAACATTCAGAATTGAAGAAAAGTATGAGTTACCCAGAGAAACAAGAACAAAAAGATATCACCACTAAACTAGCATGCCAAAAAATAGTAAAAGAACTTCTTTAAACTGTAAAGGAATAACACAGTTAGAAAACAATTTTCAGCAATATCCAAGATATATTATTTAGTATAAAAAGCAAGGTAGAAAAGGTTATATACATAATATGCCTCCATTCATGTTAAAAATAAGGATATTATCCATTTGTACAAAATCAAAAAAGGGAAGGTAAATTACAAATTAATAAGATACCAGATATACTCAAGATTTTCAATTGCACATGGGGTAAGTACCTCAACCCCCACACTTGTTCAGGAGTCAACTGCATATTATAGTGAGCAAACAACTCAAAATCTGTGCTTTTAACAAACTTTCGGTATCCTAGAGATAAAAAAAGAAAAGCACATTTAAAATATAAGACACAAAATATCATATGGTGAAAAACATTAACTGATGTTTCCAAGAGCTTCAATGGACACCACATAATCAGAAACGTAGATGACACTGAAATTATTAAAAGGAAAAATAACTTTCAACAATAATTCCATATATAATGATTTTTAACCTCCAAAAATAAGAAATTAAGACAATCCCAGGCAAACAAAAATGAGATTTTATCACTAGCAGACAACAAATATGAAAATGAATCCTTTAAGCTAAAAGGGGACACTATAGACTAATTTGAATTCATGCAAAGTAACAAAGGACATTGATAAAGACAACTTATAAACATAAAAGATAGCATCAACAGGTTTTGTTTATAACTTCGTTTGTCCTATCTGACTTAAAAACAACTGAATAAATAGTTTTAAGTGTATGGTGAGGGACACAATGTAGAAAGATGCGATGTATGACAATAAAGCATAAATGGGAAGATTAAACTATTTAGCGACAATGTTTTTGTACATTGAGCAGGTAGTAATCTGAATGTGATTGTTTATACTTTAACATGCTGTTTTTCAAGGACAACCACAAAGAAAACAACTCAAAATATATAGCTAAAAAGATAAACAAGGGGGGAAATAAAGAGGATGAAAACCCTTTTCAATTCATTCATTCAAACCAGTATTACTAATAATTATTAAAGCAAGACAAAGATATTACAGGAAAATGAAATCACAGGCTAATATGCTTTATGGGTATAGCCGCACATATCCTTAACAAATACTAGCAAACAGAAGCTAGCTGTATAGTTAAAAAGGTTATTTACCATGGCCAAAAGTAATTCATGCCAGGGATGCATGATTGCGTCAACACAAAAATCACAAGAGGGTTTTAACTTCCTGCTCCTAAGAAGAGATTACAACCATTCCATAAACAAGAAGACAAAGTCAAAATAAACTTCTGATTCCATATCTCACCAAATCACTTGAAGAGCAAAAGCTTTGTGTTCCACAGTTGATATAGTAAGTTGGCCACTAAATAAAAAGTAAGTATTGGAGCACCAAGAATTCACAAACGTATTCCAGGATCCTTGATTTTACAAACCTAAAAAATTTCAAGCCTCCTCTCATCCTTCTATAACTCAGAATTTAATTTCAGCTGGAGAGCAATGCTAGTCACCACCTTTAATTACATGCAAGTTGCAGCTGACTTGAAAACCAAAGAGCCATTTACTGTAATGTAGAATAATTTAATTTTCTAGCCAATATTGGATTTAAAAAACCATGTCAAATATCACTTTTTCACAAATCTGCAAAGTACAAAGAAAAAGACTACTTTTAACACAAATTAATATACTTTCCACAAACAAACATACCACAAGAAAGATATTAAACATTCAATATTCTTGTTATAGAAGAAATTTCAAATAAATGTAAATATAAGCCAAAAATTCTTCTCAGAAAATCTCAACATTAAAAAAATTCACAAAGCAGTATATGAAGTAAACAGGGTCACTAAAAGGGAACTCAATTACTATTTCCCATTAAAAACTGTAAGGTGGCCCTCCCTGGTGGCGCAGCGGGTTAAAGCACAGCACTGAGAAGCTAATGCCACTTCCGCATGAATTCGATCCCTGCCTGCCCCGGAGGTGACCACATGGCATGGCAGACCTCTCCTGTCCGCCTGCTGCTCCCCTCAGCAGTGTACTTTGTCGATCTGCCTGTTCTGTGCCCCACTCTGTCTCTGATGAAGCCTCTCGCTGCCCCTGAGCCTCTGGCCTGTACCCCACTTCTGTATGTACAAATAAATAAATCTTTAAAAAAACAAAACAAAACTGTAAGGTAGTTATAATTCTTAATAACCCACTGAGAAACTCTTTTGAAATATTACTTCATACTAAAGATGATGCCAGGGATCTGAGTCAAAAGAATCTGACCAAAGAGGAATGGGGCTGAGCCCTCTGTAGTACAACTGGTTAACGCACAGCACTATCAAGCTGTCTGAAGCCACTGCAGCACAAATTTCATTCCAGTCAGGGAGCTGACACATGGCACAACAGACCTCTCCTGTCTCACCCATTGCTCCCCTCAGCAGTGTGTTTCAGTCATTCTGCCTGCCCTGCTCCCCACTCTGTCTCTGGTGAATCCTCTCACCCACCACACCACCCACCTCTGTACCCCAGTTCTTGTATGCATTAAAATAATCTTTAAAAAAAAAAGAGGAGGAGGAATAGGGCTAAGGGAACACAGGAATGGAACAAGATCATTTATGAGCTGAAAATTATGAAAGCTAAGCAAGGAGTGTGCAGAACGGGAGTATTTTTTTTTTTTAATTCCATGTACGTTTCACACTTTCTCCATAAGAAGTTAGTAAGTCATAATACTAGTACCTTCCAATCTTTGAATTTTTGCTTTCACAGAAATAACAGCTTCAAAGGGTGAAACTCTCAGCTCAAAACAAGTTCCAGTTAATGTTTCGATGAAGAGTTCCATGGTAGCATAGAAAGGAAGTTTGTAATAAAATGGTTCCACGTTATCTTCATTGAAGAATGGAGGTTCTTTCCTGTTATCCATTACTTTGACTCTTCTGATTCCCCTGGAATATGTTGTCGGCAACTGTATTCCAGTTCTAGCCAAATCAGCCTTGAACATTGGTAATATATGTCGCTGTTCATGTTTTGAGTTCTGTACCTACAAAATAATAAATTTTTTAAACAAGTTTATCTGAAAGTGTTTATCCTTTATAAAGACTTTCTGAAAAATGCTGGTCCATAACAATCTTTCAGACAGTGCCAGATATAATCTTAGTGCTTAATTATGTCTAATCTATAACTTTTCATATTTGTCTCTGAAATTGGTCTCCCAACTAGACTGTAAGACTGTAAGATTATGAACAGGTATATTTTTTGACAGCTTTTCTTTATCTTACCAGAGCTCAGCACACTTGTTTACAATTTTATTTTTGTATCTGTCTGGTTTTGATGTTTAGGAAATAGTGGCCTCAGAGAAAAAGTTGGGAATTATTCTCTAAAGTGGATAAACTTCTGAATTTATTTCAGAATGATTAATGCTTCAGAGCTGGAGAAGGGTATCAGTATGTGAACAAAAAGTGATCCCTAGGAAGTAGAAAGTACTAGCATCAAAAAGGACGGATGATAAATTTTTAATTTTTTTAATCAAAAGGATATATACTAAAGTCAGCACTATTTTCACAGAAATAGGTTTGAAGAAATAGTTACTTGTGAAAGAGTATGGTTTGAGTAATAACCTACATCTTCATTCTATAGGCATGATATTCCACATGGCTAAAATTGGACTCTAGACACCTGAAATCCAATATGCCCAAAATGAATCATCTTTCCTACAAACTTCCTTTGTCCTGTAGTCTCCATCTTGGATAAGAGAACCACCACAAATTTAGTCACTGAAGGCATGAAAAGATCATTTCAGATTGTTCCTTCATTCCCATGACATCCAGGCAAATTAATACTAACAATACATAATATTTCTGTAATGTCACCTTCTCCATCCACATTAATTAGGACTTAAGACTCATTAATGCGCAATTGAGCAATTTTCCTAACCTAGATAGAATTCTTAACCCCTGCCTTTACTTTTTCAGTTCATTCCCTTCTAATACCAAAAATTATACTTTTAAAAAGACTTAATAAAAATGGGATTAGGGATTCATATTACCACATAGTTCAGTAAATTTCAGTTATCTACATTTAGCAAGGGGAGAGGTCACAAAGTCACAAAATTCTTCTATACTAGAATATATTTAATAGAAACTATCAATTCATACTAATGAGGGAAATGAGTCTAAAACCTAACATTGTTTCCCTTTTAAATAAACTTCCTATTTTAGAGCATTTTAAGTTTCCCAGCAAAACTCAAAAGTACAGTAAGTGCCCAAATATTCCTTACACTCACATCTTCAACACATATAGGAATGTTAGCCTTCCCCATTAGCAACATCTTACACCACAGTAGTATATCAGTTGCTCTCAATGAACCAACATTGACACCGTATCACCAAAGGGCACAGTTTTCACTAGGGCGCATTCTTGGTGTTGTACATCCTATGTTTTTGACAAATGTGTAATGACATAACCACCATTATAGCTCCATACAGAATAGTTTCACTACACTAAATGTCCACTTTGCTCAATTTGTTCCTCCCTTCTCCTAAAACTTTAGCAACCACTGGTGTTCTCAGTGTGGTGTCCTCAGAGTTTCACCTTTGACATTTGCCAGGATGTCATATAATTGGAATCATACTGTGTAGTTTTTCAAATTGGTTTCTTCCACTCAGTAATATGCATACAGGTTTCCTCCTATCTTTTTATGATTTGGGAACTCATTTCTTTATATTGCTGCTTCCATTTGTTTCCATTTGTCACAGTTTATTTACCCATTCACTTACTAAAGGACAGCTTTATTGCTTTCAAATTTTGGCAATTGTCAGTAAACCATTACAGTTATCTGTATGCAGCTTTGTGTGTGAGGATAAATTTCAGTTCTTTTGAGTAAATACCAATAAGTACAACTGCTGGATCATATAGGAAGAGTATGTTCCAATTTGTCAGAAATTGCCAAAGTCTTTCAAGTAGCTGTGCAACTTCCCATTGTTTCCTATCCTTCACAGAATTCACTATTGTCAGTGTTCTAGAATTTGGTAATCTAATAGTAGATAGTGGTTATCTCTTGATTTCAACTCACATTTTTCCAGTGATAAAATATTTAGAGCACAGTTATCTTTTAAAAATGTAGAACTAATCACATTATTTCTCAACTCTGGATCCTGCAATGTTTTCTCACAATCTGTTGAATAAAATCTAGATGACTTAGAAAGGCTAAGAGCATGCATCTCACCTCCAGTCCAGTCTTTCTTATTTTCATACCTCATCTCACCCTGCACACAGCTATCACACCAACCCTCTAATCATTTGCAATTGCAGATTCAGTACAGGCATAGGCTTCTACATCACTGCACCTGCTTTTGGTCAAGTCATCATCATCATCCCCACATTTGGCTACTTGACAAGAACCCAAATGTTTTAAGATACTCAGTTCAAGTAGCAATTGCCCCACAAAACCTTTCATGATTTTCTGTCAATGCTTTGCACTCATATATGTGTGTGTGTGTGTACACATATATATGTATATGAGTATGCCCTAGCCCATAACGATTGATTTAATTTTTACATGTTTGTTTTTTTCACCCCAATAAACTGTAGGTTACTAAAAGGAGGAACATATATAACATCATCTAGCACAGTGTTTTATACATACTGGAATTCATTTGGTTTGTCCAATGAAATCTAAATATTAATTCTCTCAACTGATCTTTGTAGATCTTAGAACAAATCTGTGACACATGCAAGGTATTAATCCTATTTTAGAGATAAGAGTATGCTTGGTTATGCTCCAGAAGTTACTATGGTTTCCCATGGGAATCATGTTATGATTCACACCAAATGAAGCCCAACAAAGTTTATCCAACTCATACCATGCATGCACATACAGGAGTTTCTGCTAGAGGATAAAAATTTTAACACTAATAGGAAGTATAATTAACTAATGAACCTGAAATATACTGTGCAGATTGCTAATGGTCCTAAAGAGAAGGAAATTTGGACAGCTGCTTTGAGTGTTGCTAAACTATCACAGTAATAAGCAATAAAATAAATAGCACAAAATACAGGGTTAATAATATTGGTGGTACAGTAAAAGGCAATTACCCTTCAATAAATTGCCCAAGATTTGCTTCTTACTATCTTTAGTACATTGAAATGCCTGCTGGAAAAGTATCTTGCCTGAAGCTAATCCCTAGTGTCTGCTATTGCCCTCACTGAAATAACTGCTTTTGTAGTATGGCTTTAGGTAATGTCAGTTCTTAAGAACATAGTTATCATGCTACATCAATTAAGAATATTACAGAATTATCACTGTCTGTTCCCCCCAAATCAACACCAACCCTATCTATAAAGAAGCAGCTCTAGCAACTTTGGAATGTTGAAACAACGTAACAGAAATAAAAACATTGGTGACTAGTGCCTGCCCAAGTAATTCATAGAAGTAGCATTTCCTTCACCACAATATTCTTCTATAGTAATATCCTGAAAATAATAAATAAACTGGAGGTAGAAAAGGTAACAGAAATACAGATTTGGAAGTACTTCACAGAGAATGGATAAAGCAACTAATAAGTTAAAAGAAAAATAACAACCTAATATAGCACTAATTCTGCTGGCCTACCCATGAAAAGTTTGGGCCCTAATCAATGGAGTAATTTTCAGCAAGACTAGTAACCAAATTCAAAACTGAAAATGTAAGCCTCTAGAAATAGTCAAACTTCTTAGAAGTAGAAATCACTAAAACAGAAGACAAAAAGGCCATGAAATCTGGTTGAGAGAGAATGGAAGACTAGAAGATAGCAGGGGGGCAAAGGGAGGCTGATGCAGGCCAAAGACCCAGCCAGGATTAAAAGCTGAGCAGGCACACAGCTTCTGAAAGTGGTGACTGGTCTTGCTGGACTGAGCACATTCTATGGAGATGCTGGAAAAAGAGAGACAATGAAGATTCAAAGTCATGATGGGAAATGACGAACTACTTAAAAAGATGAAGGGGGGTGGGAGGGGGAGTCTCTCCTTGGTGGCACAACGGGTTAAAAGCATCCCACTATGAAGCTCTCTGCGGCCACTGCAGTACAAGTTCAATTCCTGGCCAGGGAGCTACCAACATGGCGCGGCAGACCTCTCCTGACTCGCCCGCTGCTCCCCTCAGCAGTGTACTTCATCAGTAGTCCTGTCCTGCTCCTCACTCTGTCTCTGCTGAACCCTCTCACCCACCACACCTCTGGCCTATACCCCAGTTCTGTAAGCATAAATAAATAAATCTTTAAAAAAAAAAAAGTAGAGGGGAAAAACTTTCAGAGGTTTAAAAGTCGTTTTAAAAATATAGTAAGCAATTAAGTAAAAATACTTAATTGCGTCTCAATTTCTAAATCAACTCCTCGAACGTTTTGCTCATCTCTTCTGAAAAGGTTACAGAAAAGACAACCGCCTAGCATAAAAGGGAAGTTAAAGAGAGTAAGACGATGATAGCGCTGAATAGGTCATGCAGAATTGGAAATCAGCTTCTTCCTCTGCAGTAAAGATGCTTAGTCCTCTAAGGAGTTCTTTTCAACTTTTCCCCCAATTTACTGAGATCCCGACTATTATGAAGCCATTAAAAATGTCGACTTCTACTTAACTGTTCTTAGTAATATGTGAAAGTATCTTGAGTTTCACATATAAGTCACGGAATTACACCCAAACCTAACAGAAAGCAATTTTCTCGTGGGGCTGGGGAATCCTCCGGCCCCAGACAGCCTTCAGAGTGCAGAAGGGGGGCCCCACTGAGTCACCTGCGCAGCCTGTGCTCCTCCAAGGTAAACTCCGGCCAGCCAGACGCACCGGCCAGCCGCGGAAGGCAGGGTTCGGGCTCGGAGTCCGAATCTGAGACTCCGGAGGTCAGCTCCGGTCGGCGGGGCGCGGAAGCCCGCGCGGTGCTCGCGGAGGGACAGAAAGTGAAGGCTGTTTTCTCGACAGAGGCGGTTCGCCGCGCCGCGGCCGGTAGCTGTGAGAGCGGCGGTGGAGGGGGCGCCGCCCGACCGCCCAGCACCGAGTGGTCTGCGCCCCTCTCCGGCCTGCGGAGGCAGGCGGCAGTAGCGGTCCGGCTCAGCGGCCCACGGCCCCAGGCGCCCTAGCCATTCGGCCCGCTGGCCCTCGCCGGCTTCTGGTCCACTCGCTCGCCTGCCCGCAGGCCTACCGGGAGGCGCGGCCAGGCGAGCGACGCCGGGACAGACACAGAAGAGCAACGCTCCGCGGCCGCCCTGCCCCCGCCCCTTTGTGACGCCGTGTACCAATCGCTCGCCGGCACTCACGTAGCCTTCCAATCAGCGCGGGCGGGGGCGGGACCTGGTTGCAGGACGCCGGCGGTTGCTCGGTAGCCACGGCTTCCAAAGCAGGTTGGTGGTGGTTGTCGGTTAGGAGAGGCCCGGATGTTGACCCTTTTTGGTTAACAGTGGACACCTGACAGGGAAGGAAGCGGGCGGGCTGGCGACCAGTCGCACAGCCTGCTGGGGGTGGCAGGATCGGTCTCTGATCGCCGCGCGGCGCGAGGGCGTGGAGAGCACCTTCACTGACACGCTCCGGGCAAAAAGGGTTCTGGGAGGCTGTCCAGTCGAGGCCATTCCAGAGCCTGGACACTCCTAGTGTGTTCTAAGTCCATCTGCCCTGCACGGATACCCCTCCCTATACCTCACCGTCTCCTAAGGTTTCACGCTTCAACTGACTCACCTGCCTATGAGAGCACAGCCATGCCCGGTTGCGGACAAGGGTAAAAACCTCAATAGGCGTTAACCACTTATTCCTCAACGAGGTTTGAAACAACTGTAAGCAAGGTATCTAAGTGTGTAAGTGTGTAGGTTAGGCTGTTAAATCCCAGCATTGGATAAAACCATCTATTCTTCCCCGTTTTCATTCCCAACTTGCTGAGTCCCTGTGTACACCCTAACAGGCTTCCAAGACAACACAAGCCTGAGATTGGTCACTACTGCTGCTTTTCCCCCTTAACTCCCCACCCAAGTGGCTCTAAATCCAATAATTAGTCTCCAACCCAAATGACCCGTTTCACTAGGCAGATTACTCAACTGACAATGATAAGTTTCACTCATCTTCTGACCAGTGAACCCAATACAGTTGTCTGAATTCCCTTTTCTCATTCTTCTGAGTGCCCTCCCTTACCCCACTAATTAATCTTCAAAATTCAGCAAATTACTAAGCATATATTGGAGTTTGTGGTGAAGCACTGGGCTTTCTTTTTAAAAATTCCTATTTTTTAAAAGATGTTATTTATACATACAGAACTGGGGTACAGGCCAGAGGTGCAAGGGCCATGAGAGAATTCACCAGAGACAGAGTTGGGAGAATAACCCACAGATCAATGAAGTACTCTGCTGAGGGGAGCAGCAGGAAGGTCAGAAGAGGTCTGCCACACCGTGTAGATCACCTCCAGGTAAGGAGATCAAATTTGCACTGAAGTGACCACAGCCAGCTTCGCAGTGCAGCGCTCCAAGCTGCTGCACCACCAGGGAGAGCCCCAGCACTAGGTTTTCATCCTCAGGTTCTCTAACCACTGGTGCCTTAAACTCCACACTTTTAATAGATTGGAGCCCCCTGAATATAAGTATGACCTACTGCCTTTGTATGCTAGAGCCAAAGAATAGTGGCTATGGCGTGATTCAATAAATCAAAAACTTAGTATCTCCACCTGCCTCCCCACTTATCAAAGGGAGACAGGCTGATGAATTTAAACCTCATTTTCCAACACTGTAAGCTGTTACCTTGGCCAAAGCATTTGTTCCCAAATCATCAACTTTGATGTCTCACATAGTAATAGTTTAAAAAAGTCTTTGTATATATCATCTCCCATCACCATCCTGCAAGGCTGGTGCTGAAACGTCTAGTGGGCAAGAGGAGAAAACTAAAAGAAGGCAATTTGACTGCCCTCAAACTATTCTAAATGGAAGAACCAGATTTTAATCTAACTCTCAATATAAAAATTCAAATGTTTATCAGTTACTGGAAGGAAATCTGATAGATGAACCAAAAAGAGTAGGAAAAAAGGAGTAGGTAACTAGTAATCAGTGTGTTCTGTCCTTGGGCCATTCTTACAGAAGAGCAGTACAAGCAGCTGATCTGTAGAGGCTGTAAAAAAAAAATCTCTTACTCCAAGGATGAACAATTCCCAAATCAATCTCCAAAGTACCCAACAAAGAAGTTAGTGGTTTCAGACTTGGTAAAGATAAATCTAGTCTACCCACAGGCTGTGCCTGGGTTATGGACTGAATACCAAGAAGACATAGCACAGGAAACAAACTATATTGAGTCAACCATCCATGTGGCTACTGGCTACTACATTGGACTACAGAGTTTAGAACATTTCCATGTTTGAAGAGTTCGCTGGAACAGTACTAACATTTTTTTAACAGTACTAACATTTTTTCTAATATTACCTTCTTTCACAAAATGATGCAAAACTTCAAGGAATGGAAATGGATGTCTCAGAACAAGGGTTAGCGAATTTTCTGTAAAGGGTTGGGTAAAAAATATCTTAGGTATTGCGGTGGCCAGTCTCTGTCACAACACTTATCTCTGGTATTATATACACAGGGTTGAAGATGACCAGGTATGATTTGTCTCAATAAACCTTATTTCCAAAAACAGACAGTAGAGAGTCATAATTTGCCAAACTCTGTCTTGGTGGACCTGTAGATGCAGCCTCAGAATTCAGTGCAATCACAGAAAACCTCCCCTCCCATTGCTAAGACTCATGAAATATATATTCTCTTCCTTTACACTTGTTCATGCCATGACTAAGCTAGAGCTTCCACCCATTTAAGGATTTGTGATCACTGTCTGGAATTTGCTATTTTGGGTACTCCCTGTTATCCATGAAAGCTACAAATAGATTTCTTCTCTAACATGTCCTAAATCATACTGTGGTCCTACCAAGTATTAAATAATAACCAATAACTATTAAATAATAGTTTTTAAAAAACGTGAAACATTTTTTATTATGTAGTATTAAGCATGATTTAAACTAGTGCAAAAAAATATTAAGTGCATTGGTTAAGAGGTCAACTGTTTCAGTATTTACTTTTTGTAATTCAGTTAAGACAATGAGCATAAAAGCATCAATATAACTCAAGAATGTAGCTGAACAGTGAGATGTGGTAACTCTGTATGCTCTATTGGCCTCCAAAGGCATTCAAGGGATCATCAAATATACTGGACACCTTCTGTTCAGATCTTGCTTCAGGTGCTGCCTGTGAAGAGTGACTTTTTGTTTTAGTTGTCTTAGACTGGATACCAGAGGAGAAGATATCATCTTTAAAAAGAAAAGAAAAAAAGAGACTTGATGAATAGTCAAGAAAATGGGTGCTCTTAAGACATATCTATATAAACCACAAAAAATGCAAATCTGCTAACAGTATATGAAGAAACAGTATGATTGAGCCATGCCTCAGATTTCCTAACTCTGCAACTAATCAAATTTTATGATCACAGTCAATTTACAGGTTCTCTTTAAGCACATTTTGTTTCAGCTACCAAGTTGTATGTATGATCACATGCAGAAGGAAAAGGCAGGATAAGTGATCACCAGTCTAACTTTACTATCTGTGAGATTATACACATTTCTACAGTGCTTTCCCAGTGAATTTTAAAAGGAAAGAGCAATAAAAGTTAGCAAACAGAAATCCACTTCTCACCCTGTTTGAGAATAAATGCACCTATTGGAGACGTCTCAAAAATAAGAACCTAAAGCTTTACTACTACATTAGTGCTTTGCGTTTCTCTAAGTCTAGTGCTCACATGACTCATGTTACCCAGTAATGTTATTTACCCAGTAATATGACCGCTAAGATTCCATCCTACACACTTTAGTATGTGTGCATGAAAATATGTAAACACAAATATTAAAGATCATGACATTATTTGTAATAAAGAAAACTTAGAAACAATCTAATCACTGTCAATAGACTAGTAGGTAAAATATAAAGCAATATTACACAACCACTAAAAATAAGGAAGTAGAACTCTATATATACTGACATGGAGACAATGAAGCAGAATAGCAGAACAGGTGTTATTTTGAAAATGAAAATATTTCTCTGTTTACAAATCAAAATTAGTTTCACCATGTCTGAAAGGATACACACCAAACAAGACAGCAGTTACTTCTAAGGTGGTTTTTCACTCTGGACATTTTCCAAACAGTATTAATCTACTGTAAAAGGCATGCATTACTTTTTTTGTAATGAAAAAGTCCATTCTGCACCTTGAGTTGGGAAACAGGTACAAGCAGAAAGCATATGGCCTGCTTAGAGAAGAGACGCACTGTGGCACTATAGTACCAGTTTTTCCCAGTCAACCTAGGCCTTAGCCCTAGCCCTACCCACCAACACAGGACATTTATCACAAGACCAGCATTGAGGGATCTACACTAATAAAGTACACTTAATTCCTTTGAGGGAAAATAAGCACATTCATAAACACTGAAGCTCTTTAGTGAGTTGCAAAGTCTAAACTACAACCTACATGCTTAGTCTCCTGCCCTACACCCTTCTATGGAACCAGTGACACTCCCTCTCCAGCTAGAGCTGACTCAACCAAGTGCATTATAGCACAAGGCAGTCATCTCAGTTAACTTCAGCCCTTGTCGGAATTTCTCATCTTCCTTTCACAATGCTTGGCATTGGGAAGAAAATACTAAGATAAAGCTAAATTGAAGGTCAGGTTCCAGATTCCTTCAAAGTCCTTTATGTCTATCACACCAAAAAGTAGCATCACCAAAATGCTACACTCATTTACTTATCCAGCCTCAGTCTAACTCAGCAGGCTGAAGGAAACCTACTGGGGAGTAAGGGGCTAGCAAAGGTCGTAGGAGAAATAGCAAGTCACTGAACAGTTAACGACTGTCCTGTGCAGAAACCACACTTACCAGTATCATCATCAAATATAGACTTAGCTTCTACTTTCTTTTTGGACTTTTCTTTTGGCTTTACAGTTAGGTCAGCAAAAATATCAATGTTATCATCAAATAAATTGGATTCAAATGTTCTGTCCTTATCTCTTGTTTTCTGTGAGGGTTTAATCGCTTCTGTCGCAAATATATCATCCTGATTAAGCCAAAAACAAGCAGAACAATTTTAAGTCAATTTTGTTGACAGCAAACACTTTAACAACATCAACAACAAAAAACTCTAGA